TCTGCTGCACAGAAAAACAACAGGAAGGAATGAGGGCTAGGGACGTTATCACACGGGGTCTAAAGCAGTGCCATCCCCGGCGCATTGCAGCATCATTCCGGATCCTTTGCCTCTGTGTTCACACGACGTCGCAACAAACCCCGCCCCATCCAGTGCCATCCCCGGCGCATTGCGGCATCATTCCAGATCCTTTTTTCGTGTGTTCACATGACGACGCAGCAAACCCCGCCCCATCCCGTCCCATCCCCGGCGCATCATCCCCGTTCTTTTCAATTCCTTTTTGAAAAAGAAATTACACTTGCCGCGACCAGAATCAATCAAGAATTATACCGGAATGATGCTGCTTTCTTGTGGGGTCCATTCCGGTATGGTTCTGGATTGATTACATGCCACTTTCTTGCCGCTTTGAGACCCCGCGTGTGATAATGTCTTAGGAAGTGGGGTTGTAAATTAGGAAAAGCTGATAAGCCAGATGGGGAAGCCCTGAAAGCCATATCTTCCCTGTGGGCCTGAGGTTCCCCTTGACTACACTGGCATGACTGCTCCCGATTCTAGAGAGTTGGCCTAAGTAATCCTAAATATACTTAGTATGCAAAGGGATCTTGTAGCACCTTTGAGACTAATTGAAAGAAAGAAGCTGGTAGTGTGAGCTTTTGTAGACTTGAGCCTGCTTCCTCAACATCTTCCTCAGCTTCTTTCTTTAATCTCAAAGGTGCTACAAGATCCCTTTGCACACTGATTTTGCAGACCAACACTTTGAATTTTAAATACTTAGCTATGGAACAAGCACCTTTGAACATAATAGGATCTAAAGGTAAAGGTTTCTCCTTTGACAAGATTGTTAAGTTGTGTCTGACCATAGGGGTTGGTGCTCATCTCTGTTACTAAGCCAAAGAGACAGCATTATCAAAGACAACTCTGTGATCATGTGGCCAGCATGACTGCACAGAACACTGTTACCTTTCCACCAAAATGGTACCTATTTATCTACTTGCACTTTTACATGCTTTCAAACTTCTAGGTTGGCAGAAGACTAGTGTTGGGAGCTCACTCCCTCACGCAGCACTTGGGCCTCAAACTGCCAACCTGACAATCAGAGTCAGCATCTTAACTGCTGAGCCACTGCGTCCCGGGGATTTAATCCTGAGAAAATATGCATAGTATTGAATTGCTGTATTGCAAGGGAAGGAAGGATATGGCCCTCCAGATATTGCTAGATTGCAAGGCCTAGCTTTCCCAGTAGCATCTGGAGGAATGATTCACATGCAACATTTCATGTGTTTGTTCAGAAGTATATTTCATTAAGTTCAGTGGGGTTTATTCCCAGTAAGTGGGTGAAGGATTGCATCCTAAGTAAAAAACATCCTTCTCCATCCTTTGTTTAGTAGTAGAAACTTGGTGTTTCAGAATACAAAGTTTGTACTATCACTTCTGCTCCATTGTCTTTTGTTCCACTATGTACTATAGAGCTTTGATGTGCCCTGGTAATGCTGTACTGAGTAAATGAACACATGAACTATGAGACAAGTCACTTTCTGTTGAGATTTTAACTTAGCCTTGCTCAGAGGTCTTAGACAGGACAACATGTATTCCTGCCATCCTGACTATACTATGTTGATAGCTATACTGGCTTATCTCATGATGCAGTAGTAAGAATGATGGAAATAAATGTTTCCAGAAGGCTAGTAGCTGTGTTTGTTTAGTGTGTGTGAAAGCAACAAAGACTCTTTTGTTGCTGCCATTTTTTTTTCTAACCAGTGTGTGGAACAGTTAAAAAAGGTGCAACAGAAATGCTCAGTGTAAATTATTATATAATCCAGGCTTCTGAATTTGGGTCTTCTCTCCCTACTCCAACCAGCCAGTATAATTACCAACATATTACAGTTGGGATGGGATAGGGAAAGGAGATCCACATTTATATAAGGTGGAAGAAATCCACATACATAAATCTGCTTCAACACATCTCTCAGTTCTTGCTGGGTCAGGACAAGCTATACTGGCTTATCTCATGATGCATTAAACTGTGTTTAATGTCAGTTTTCATGTAGGCTATCATTTATAACTAACTAAAACTCTACTTTCTATTGGTATGCCATGAATAATATTAACTGCTTTCAGGAAATAGTTCATAATGCACCAGATGTTAGAGCTATGGATGGTTGAGAAGGCATGAGGGGCTGCCTACACATTATCTCCTGCTCTCCTCAGGAGGAGAAGAGAATAAGATTAAGATCTTGATAGGAGGATACCAATATCAGACATCTTTAGAATGAATAAAGTGGTTCATTTATAATCATGCTTAGTCTGGCTTTAGGTGGCTATTTGGCAACTGCCATTTTAAACTCTGGAAAGCAGTTTGAATTGGAAAGAATGAAAGTTAAGGATAAACTTGTCTACTTTTGAGGTTATTATATATAGCCTGTTATGTAGGCATGTAAAAAAAGAGGGTTTTTTAAGTAGTTACCATTGACTTTCACTTGTACAACTCAGAAAAGTTACCTTTTAGAACTACTTCTCCCATAATTTCCCCGTCGACATGGTCATGACATGCTAGTCCCCATGACATGTGCCCCAAGTAACTTCTCTGAACTCTGTTTAAAAGTCATCTCACACTTGTTTCTCAGGAAAAAGATCCCAGCCCTATTAGACTGCCATCTTGTGATACATTAAGGTCTATCAAATTAATTAATTAATTAACTGATTAGTCATTTAAAGGGGGGAAATTATTCAGGGAAAAACCCTGAATTGTTTAATAGCTTTGGTCATTATTCTCCATGAAAATAGGAAGCTGTGCATCTCTGTTCATATGCCTGAGCAGAAAAATACAGTATTTGTACTGTTTTCTATTCACCAGTGATATTTGGTTGCATGTTGCCTTTATACATGTCAGACTAGGACTGACTGATTATTTATTTAATTAGTTTATATCCTGCCCTTTCAATGAACAGAGCAGATAATGAGATCTAGAGTTGTTATAGGCATTTTTCCTGCCTTCCTATAGTCAAATATGTGCTTTGCCTGTGGGTTAAGGGCTGAATGCTGTTTTCCTAATCTCTAGAATTTCCTGAATGAAACCTGATGACTCAAATTCTGTTCAGGAAGTAGTGGTTTTGTAATTGCATCCATAGAATATCGGCTGACCTGAAGTTAGTGGAACAGATTCACCACTTGAATACTTTTTACATTTACACCAGTCTGAGTCTACCATGGGTCACTGAAGTTGTCACCAGTGTAAAAATATAGAGAATGTAACCCTGCATTTAGTGGGAATTATTACAAAGGATTTTGTGCAATATCGGAATAGTTCCTTTAGAAAAGCTAGCTGATACAAGTTCTTGGCTTAAATTTGCTTGCTTGTCCCAACTGGACTAGACTCATTGAATCAACAGCCAGCCAAATGTTAAGTCAACATTTATGTAAACACAGTTAATTGAATGGTTATACTCTAGTTGGGACTAGAAATTTGATTTAGGACTTCCATGTGCTTTTTGAAGGTATTAATTCACAACTGGATTTATTCAAAGATGGCTGGTGGCTTCTGTGCCAGTGAGGCACAGTGGGGCATAGCAGGGCAGTGAATTCCCTCTAGGTCTGAGGTGCTGAGCCTTATCCCCCAAGCAGTTGCTACTGGGTTTAGATGTGAAAGGTTTGTCTGAAAACTGCATTTCTCAGTTTGTTTATAAGTTGGCTCTTTCTGCAGCATCAGCAATATGAACCTGTTCTTCCAGTTGTCTTATAATCCTTAGCTACCGTATTTTCCAG